ACTGAGCTTCAGTGGGGCTGGCATGCCCCAAGGGTTCGCCTCAGTCTCTTGGGCAGAGAACTGGTCCTGTGGATTGAGCAAACTGACCATGCATCTTGGGGAGAGGCTCCAGCAGTTACCCTGCGAGGTTGGAACCTCTCCCTCAAACCACCTCCCCTCCAGCCCCCTAGAATATACCCTATGTTTTCGCCATTGGCTTCAATGGCCCATAGGATATAATGGGGCCGAAACGTACATTCGCTGGCGGAAAGACTCCTCAATCGGCCCCTACTGCCGAAATTGATACGCGGGAGTCTTTCTGCCGGCCGAAATTGATTCTGCCCGATTCGGCCGCCAGCCCAGGATGGAGCCTGTGGGGCTGCTGACAGGTGGGGAAGTTGTGTGGCCTTAGTAGGAAGTCGAGGGGCCGGGCCCCAGAATGCTTCAATGTAGCTGTGGGCCTGAAATGACTTCACATTTGATTATTATGTGAACCAGAAGGTTCTATGGCTTTGCACAGAACTGGAGAATATTTACTTAGCATCAGAGGTTCTGCTAACTCTCTATTTTCTGGAAACCCTTCTGCAGGGGCCCACCAGCCAAAGATTGCCTACTATATCTGACTCAGACGTCATGCATTCCTTTCACTTCTGCTGGGCCTTGTTTGCACTGATTGTTTGACCAAGAACACACCCAACAGTCCCCTGCATCTATGCATTGTAGAGAAGATGTTTAGCACTGGGGAAGATGTCTTTTGGGGAAGTTTGTTCTTCATCACTCCCCTTTTTAATTGAGGAACACCAATACAATTTTAACAACTTCCCATTTAGAGGGGGAAACAGAGGCCCCGGTCACACGGAAGGTTTTGGCCCGGGAGAGGGACGGATCAGGGGTGCAGCAAACGGGCACCAGCACACCGCAACATCTGGGAATCGGCGTGCACCCGTCCCCGATCCGTCCCTTCAGGCCTAAAGCGCGCATCAAAAAAGAACCTGCAAAAGAGCAGGACTTACTTAGAACGCCGCAGCAAGCGCGGCCGTGGGATCGCCAGCGTGCCCGTCTTCGGTAGCAATCCAGGCTCCTGGCCGAACTGCGCAAGCGCACACATGCGCAGTTCGGCTGCCTCGCTCCATCTTCAGTGGCTTCCTCCCAGCATCTGATCGTGCTGGGGAGGAACTGTGCGGTGGCTCAGGGGAGTTTTCGGATCCTGCCGCCGTGTGTCTCTTTTGGTGCGGCTTTAAAAAGCCGCACTTCGGCCGTGCTTCCCCCCCCCACCCCGTGTGGCAGGGGCCAGAGAATGACTTCTAACTGGGTCTGAGCTAACAATACTTCTTGTGAATATTCCCCCCACTTTGGCAATTTAGCCAGTGTGGTGTCATGGTCAGAGTTTTGCCCTAGGAGACCCAGGTTCAAATCCCACCAACACCACTGAAGATTGCTGGGTGACCTTGGGCCGGTCAAACACTCACAACCTAACCTACCACCAATGTTCCCTCTAAGCTGTGCAGTCTTGTGAGCAAAAATTCTACTTTGTGACCTACTGGCATCAAAGTTGTGAGCGAGCAATTTGGCTACTGCATAAATTAGCTTGCTACGGAGCCATCCTTCCTGAGCGAAGGCCAAAATGCATGAGCCGGGGGCTGTAAAACTGTGAGCTAGCTCACGCTAACTCAGCTTAGGGGGAACACTGCCTACCACACAGGATTGTTGTGAGGATAAAATGAAGGAGAAGAGAATGGTGTAAACCAGTCTGGATACTGACTGGGGAGAGAAGCGGGATATGAATGAAGGGAATGAATGAATAAATTTTCACTGATTGCTTCCAAAGTGTTTGCCCAGTTAGGAAGTGTTGCCCTCACGCTGAACATGTCATCTGGCCCCAGCAGCAGCATCATGTACCCATGCTGATGAACTAGGTAGGGTCATAATGCCATTCATTTTACTACAAGATCTATGATTTGTTGAGATCACCCACATGACTAATCCAGTAGAAAAGAGCAAGAGTCCGGTAGCACCTTAAAGACTAACACAATCTGTGGCAGGGTAAAAGCTTTGGTGTCCGAAGAAGTGAGCAGTGACTCACGAAAGCTCATACCTGGCCACAAATGTTTTTTTTAAAAATCGTGCTACTGGACTGTTAGTCTTTAAGGTGTTTCTTGGGGCTAAACCACACATTGCAATTTTGGGGTGTTTCTGGTTTGGGCTCCCTAGACCCAGTCTGCTTTCCCTA